GGCCAAGTAGATCACGTCCAGGAAACAATGAAGCAATGATAGTCCAAACCCAGTATCAATACGGTTTATTAAAGTCAGAGTCTCAAATTGCCAGAACAACCTCAGAACTATGGTGCGCTGCGCAGACGAGAGCAGCGCTTCACTCCCCAACCCTGAGTAACCGCTATTACTACCCCTGAGTCCCTGAAACATCAAGCGCCACCCAGATACAGCCTCCAGAGGGAAGCGCCACCCTGAAACAGGCCTCCGAGGCCAAGCGCCACTCAGAGGATGAAGAAGAAGAGCAGCACCACAGTGTCTGATGATGATGAAGTGTCGGATGACTTCCCGGGTGGAAGTCTACAGCAGCGCCACTTCTCCTGACAAGATGATCTCTGAGGAAGAAACTGCAGCGCCACACACCCTGACACCCTACTCTTGAGGAGGGTTCAGCAGGGCTCCAACTTCTCTCGCCTCCAGCAGACTTCGAGTAGCCCAAACCTCTGGACAGCCCCACGTGCTGTCAGAGTACAGTGCCAGTCCCAGCTATGGCCGACACTCCGCAGGTCTGGCTATGCCCGTCTCCTGCAACGCTGAAGCCGTCACCACGTCCAGTTCACGTGTTACACAGCAGCAACGTACACAGTACCAACCGCCAAAAGCCCTGAACCAATGTCCTCATCCTATCTATAACCTACACTAGCCTAGACACGACCTAGATTGGACTGATTGGACCGACCAGTACCGTTTCAGTTTCGGCCTCTAGGGCCTCTCCCTACCCGGCTATAGGCTATAGGACTGTCTATCAGCTTAGGCCCGTAGGGCCTGTCTGTCCTAGGGGTAGCCCGGGCCTGCTATTTGCAGTTAGGGTAGCTGTGGAAATTTTAGTTAGTACGGGCCTATATTTTCCCGAATTTGCAGGTATGTCCCTCTCAAATTTTCCTCACAGGCAGGTCTCTCGGTTTGCCCTCAGCCAAACAAAATTATGAATCTGTCCTACCTATGGTACAGCCTCGACGAGAGAGGCTACTGGCCACTGGAACCATCAAGTCGTTTCAATAGAGTCTTGGCCTTCGTTCGGCATACACAGAGGCAAGGACATTCTTCATGAAACAAGCTTGGTTATTGTTGTAGAAGATCGAGTCTGGCCTGCCTCTTCGTACAGTGCCCACATAGGTTTCCCATTATGAGCTTGGGAATGGTATTTCTTCCTCTCGCTGAGCAAGTTTGAGCTGCCATCACCAGAATGGGTCCATCGCACTCCATACCAAATTACCAATACGACAATGACTGTGTGAAAAACATCAGCCCTTTCCATGGATAGCTCTATGACTCCCACCCAAATGGCTGCAAGTGCTAGGCACCATGGTCGTTAGAGGTCTAGAGGAATCTGGTTTACCTTCCCTAAGGTGCTCCTCGTTTAGCACTAGAGCCTAGCAGTGCCTTACCAGAGGTCTACAACTGAGAAGAAGGGGGTGAGGAAGGGGGAAGTGTGGCTCAAGACTGAGCCTTCCGCTACTGCTGTCTATCCCTAAGCATGTGCCCTACGGACCTCTAGCCTACTTCCTCTCGACCAAACAATCAGGGCACAGGCAGTTCATTACAATGCAACAGAGTGCGCTGTCCAATAGCACACTCACCAATGCATCAAGACATCAGGAGCAATATGTCATGCAACAGCAATATTTCTTTTCTCACCTATGTACCAAGGTCAAGGTAACAAAAACTTAACTTAATCTTCATCCTTACTCCTTTTACTTATCTGCACAATCAGAAATTCAAAGTATCGCACAAGGTACCATGTAATCAGTCCAATCCACCTTTAGACACCTTCAATTTGACCCTTTTCTTCTTTTTTTTTAATTAAAAACGGGGCCTTATGGTCCTGGCTCCATATCCATTGTGGGGAGCATCAGCCCAGTTCCTTTTCCACCGGCAAGTCATAAGAATACAAAAGTTCACCCACAGACGCTGTGACGAGGCTGAGGCAGAGGCAAGGCAACGAGGCTGGGAGAGGGAGGGAGAGAGTGAGAGCACACACACACGACGCAGACTCGACACGACTCGACGGACGCAGACACGAAGTGGCAAAGTCGCAAAGTCGAAGTCTTGGATTTCTGAACACAATGTCGAGGCAAGTCACACCGAAGCACAAGCACTGAGGCCGCAAAACTGAATGCCCGTACTGGGCTTGGGTCCGATCTTAAGTATCGGACTCAAGTTCCGTCCGATGGGCAGAAGTGCTTTTTTTTTTTTTTTTTTTTTTTTTAAATGTTTGTTTGATTGCCAACATGAAAGAAAGGGGCCGGGGTCCCCACAATTCAACCCGGTTAGTCTCCTCTGGCAGCCTTAGCCAGCTTCGCTTTTGACGGGACCAGTAAGACCCGAGAAACATCTGTACTAAATTGTTTAGGTGTCTTAAGAACTCTGCTGTATCTACTGATGTATCAATGGGGAAAGGATGACAAGGTACCGTGTTATCTAAAGGGAAGGGGTGTGAGATGATCAGAAGGTAAGGAGCTTTAGAAGAGTAGTGGGAGAAGGTGGAGGAAGCCAGGAGTGGGGGAAGCAAAATCTGACGGAGAAGGTTGGTAGTTCCCCTGATGGGGGAARTAAAAAAWGCATAAAGAGGGTGTRAAGATGAAGTTGGCGAGAAGGCAGGTAAAGAAGAAGAGGAAATAGATGAGGGAAAAACACTGCTAGACTATTCTACTTCCTGTTCCTACTGTCTATCTGCTAATACAGCCTACAANTCGAGATTCAATCTGCCTTGTACCATCCAGGGCTTGGTGGGTCAAGGCACACTCTGGCCGCGGCTGTACAGATGGAGCAATCTCAGCTATCCAAGAAATCTTTCTTTTTTTTTTCTTTAAAAAAAAAAAAAAAAAACACCCCCTTCAGTGTTAGTGCTGCTGGTAAGAGCAGACACCACTAGCACCTGGGGAGAGGCTCCATCTATTGGTGGGGAGCGTCACCTGCTGGAAAATGGGTCCAGCGTCCCTTTTTACAAGAGAAATATTTGGGGATGTCTGAAGTGATGAGAGATGAAAGTGTGGGGCCTGCCAGCATTGATTGCCCTGCAACCCAGGGGATTGACTGAGAAGGCCTGCATAGTGTTCAATAGTGTAGTCCTTCATGAGTTTGGAGTGCTACCATTGCCGTCTGTATCTCTTCACCCTCAGAGAAGGGCGCCAAATAGACTTGTAGGGGCTGATACTATTCACTACCTACTCCCTCCAAACCCTGCCTGCTGTCAAAAGTAGTACAGGCTATCCGAATTCCCAGCATTGACTACCTTAATTGAGCCTTCAGAAAAAGAAAAGGAAGGATGGCGGAGTCCTCCCCAGGGGGCACCAGGGAGGAGGACCGCGTATAGGCACAAATTTAGAAAGGATCAGGTCATCAGATTTTCACATTCAGGATAGGGTTTCTACCAGGGATAAGGCATGGGGTGGGAAGGAATCCGGGAAATCCAAGGAAGGGCGTAATGGGAACAAGGGCTCTATGTTAGTCCAGTCCTTGAAAACTAAACGATAGTCTCTCATTTCTTCCAGGTCACACAAACCTCCTCCTCTGTCACCACTCCGTTCAACTTTTGCGATCCATCCTTATCTTTCTCCCCCTACCTAGTCTGTGCAGAATGTTGTGATTCGTCTCCTGACGTCTCCAATTTGTCTGAAAAGGTTTAATTGTGCTTTTGTGTCCAACCATCTGCGTGTGAGTTCAAGGTGTATCTGTTGCTGGATCTGTTCAATGATCTCTGGCCCCTCCACCTGTACCTACTCCATAGCAAGGGTACATCGCTGCCACCATAGTGCCCATATCACCGCCCTCCTTCCCAATCTGTACATGTTCTCTACGAAAGTCGTGGCTGTTCCTGCTAACGGCCAGTGCCCCGTCAGAATGGCTTGCCACGTCCAGGGCCAGGGAATGTCCGGTTCCATTTTTCGCCATATGCGGTTCCACCATCGCCATGTGAATTGGGCAATCGGGCATTGCATGAAAACATGTTCAATGGTTTCCGCCTTCTTGTGGAAAGGGAAGAGACTCTGACACCGCTGGCACCATGGGAGCAACAGGCCTCTTTGTTCAAGGTTTGTGCGGTCAATTAACTAGTCGTTTGTAGGCAGACAGCGGTGGGCTATCTGCCACTGCAGGGAGGTGATTTTCATGGGCTTGTACTTTTGTTCCTTGAACCATCGGATTGGGGATAGGAGGGTGCGGTCCACATTCAGGTGTCTGGCCCATCTATCATTAATCATGTCCGCAAATACCGTTTAGGTCTGCGCATTTTGTAGGCAGTTTTTACCGTTAGCTGGTGCAGGCTGATGTGTTTTATCTTGGGGGCGCCCCCGTCTTTTGGGGGGGCTTCCAAGTCCATTCTACTGGATCGAGAGCCAGGTCCTCGATTGGTTTGTCGGGCTGGAATGTCCCTTCTCTTTTATAACTCTCACTCGGTGCACTGATGTTCTATCTCTCCATTCGAAGGGTGCTCCATCCTCTTGGAGGGTGCCTGTTCTGGTGATAGCATAGTATTCGACCAGAACTATTTGGGGTGAAACCATATGGATCAGGCCGATCCTCAGAGGGGTCCCTAAAGAAGGGTCACGTTTGAGGATCCGGTACCATTCCAGTGGGATCGCCTCAATGAGGTTTTCTAATAGCTCCTCTACATGATGGCAATACCTCAAAGATGCTCGCAATTGGTCCCCTATTTGGCAGTACCTCAAAGATGCCCGCAATTGGTCCCCTGTTTTCCAGTCTCGCCTTTCACTGTCCCAAAGATCCCCCACCCTAAGCACTCCATGCTTAACCCAGCTCTTCCATGGTAGGGATGAGCTCGTCATAACGCAACCACTCGTGTTTGTCACCCATCTGTTACCGAAGAGGGGTTGACGATGGACGTCCTCCCACTGGTTGGGGTGGGTCTGGTCTGGGAGCGGGAGTTTGCGCCAGATTTTCAGCAAGGATGGCCAAAAATTATCCAGTGTCTATCCCAGCTGCATAATCTCCATGAACAGTGAGGCAGCAGGCCATCGTCCTCGTGCGCTTGCCATTAGATCCTTTATCACCAGCGTCACGCAGGTCCACAAGCATTGGACAAGAGAGACAAGGTAGTGGAGAGGACATATGGGACAAGGCTAGGCGAAGGTAAGGGCAGATCAGACATCGGGAATCAGGGTCAAGGGGAGGGTGGCTGGGTTCAAGGGTGTGTGTAGAGCAGGGTTGCGAAGGTTTAGCGGGGTTTTATGCCATGGTTATATAGGTATCTAGAACATAGGATTAGCACGATCATAGGCGCGGACAAGTTTCATGGCGTTCTTAAGATTAGAGAGAGGTTCCCATGTAGATTCTTCGTCGGGGTATCCGGTCCATTTGACTTTGTATTCAGTGATTGGTTCCGGATGATCAGATACCTGAGTGGTTCGTCGGCCTATGATGGTTTCGACAACGAATTCAGGGCCTGTGGGTAACATGATTGGTGGAGGTCTAGGATATGGGCGGTCGGCAAACTAGGGCGGGGATTCATGGTATTCTTTTAGGTACTCGACATGGAAGACTGGGTGGACACGACTCATGTCGGGGGGAAGTTGGAGTTTGTAGTTGACGGGGGAGGTTTGTTCAATGATGGGGAAGGGACCGAGCCATTTGTTGGAGAGTTTCTTGGACAAGCCGTGTTCAGGTTCAAAGTTTGGCGGAGAGCCAGACTTTGTTCCCTACTTTGAATGACACGTCGCATCTATGTTTGTTAGTCTTGCTGGCTTGTTGTTCTTGGGTTCGTTCAATAACTTCGGAGGCTTCTCTCAGGAGTCTGTTCATTGTTGCTACCCATTCATTGAGAGAGGGGCAGGGGTTGGATGGGTTAAGCTCCAAAGGGAGCAAGAAGTCAGAGGGCAAGCGAGGGTGGTAGCCAAGGTCAGGGTAGAATGGGGACATGCCGGTGGAAGGGCAGACGGCGTTGTTGTAGGCAATCTCGGTGGCTGTGAGCAACTGATCCCAATCGTGTTGGTGTGGATGACAATACTTCTGCAGGATTCTTTGGAGAGTATCGTTCATCTTCTCTGTTTGTCCATCGGTCTATGGGTGGAATGCAGTGTTATACTTTAGCGTGGTTCCGTAGGCCGTGAAGAGGTGTTTCTAGAATTGTGAGAGGAAGCGAGGATCACGGTCACTGATGATGTTCTCGGGGAGGCCGTGATGGCGAGCAACATGGTCGAAGAAGAGTGGCGACGTCTTTGGCACTGTACGACGTCGTGCAAGGGATGAAGTGGGCACGTTTGGTCAAGCGGCAGACAATGACGTAGATGCAATCATGCCCGCGATCGGTCTTGGGGAGGCCGCACACGAAGTCCATGGAGATGGACTGCCACCAGTGAGTTGGGATGGGTAATAATTGGAGCTTGCCGGGTTTAGCTCGGTTCGAGGGGTTGACAGCTTGACACGTGGGGCATGAGCGAATGTATGCTTTGACGTCAGCGAGCAGGGAAGGCCAGTAGAAGTAGCGGGAGATGGTGTCGAAGGTTTTCTGGAAACCGAGGTGTCCTGCGGTCTTGGCGTCGTGGTGCTCGACCGAGAGTTGAGTACGGAGACCACGTGCGTCAGGGATGCAAAGTCGGCGAGTGCCTTTGGTATCAATGTAGAGAAGGTTGTCGTGAAGGGAGTAGTCGGGGACGGGGTCAAGATCGCGAAGCTTGTTGTAGATGGTGGCGAAGTCTGGGCAAGAGAGGTAGCCTTGGGTGTATCGGTGATGGAGTGATGGGAGGAGTTGGATATGAGTCATGGCGGCGTAGACTTTCTCGGGGGGCTTGTGGTTGGGTCATCGAGAGAGGGCATCCGCAACGCGGTTGCTTTTGCCAAGGGTATGGCAAATGGTGAATGTGAACTGGGCAAGGGAGTCTAGCCAGCGGACTTGGGGTGGAGTGATATCTTTCTTGGAGAGGATGGAGGAGACGATGGTGTTGTCAGTGCGGATGGTGAAGTATTGCCCGTCGAGGTGCGGGCGCCAGACTGCGAGGGCATGAATCACGACGAGGAGTTCCTTCTCGTTGGAGGGGTAATTCATCTCCGCGGGAATGAGCTTCTTGCTTGCAAAGGCGATGGGGTATTCGCCAGGTGGAGCCTCGGGGTGAGTGGGCGAGTCCTTGATGGAAGGGGTCTCAGCGGTGTCGCGGGGGAAATGTTGGGACAGTACAGCTCCAACAGTGAAGTCGGAGGCGTCAGAGGTGACATAGAAATGGCGAGTGGGGTTGGCGATCTTGAGGACAGGGGCCGTGGTGATGGTTTGCTTGAGTAAGTCGAAATCGTGTTGGCGGCGATCGTTCCAATGGAAGGGCTCATCCTTGCGGGTGAGTTCGTGGAGAGGGTAAGAGATCTCATAAAAGTTGGGAATGAACGGGCGGTAATAGTTGGCAAGGCCGAGGAAGGAACGGAGTTGGAGGAGGGTCTTGGGCGGGGGGTACTCGACGAGGGTTGTGACCTTCGAGGGGTCCATTCGACGCTCGAAGCGGAAAACGTACATTTGTTGAGCTTGGCGTAGAATTTTTGCTCTCAGAGGATCGAGAGGACTTGGCGGAGGTGCTGAAGGTGGGACTCGAAGGTGGGGCTGAAGACAAGGATGTCATCAAGGTAGACGACGACGCAGACTTCGAGGAGGTTGCGGAAGATGTGGTTCATGGTAGATTGGAAGGTGGCGGGGGCATTGGTGAGTCCGAATGGCATCACGAGGAACTCGTAGTGCCCGAACCGAGAGCGGAAGGCAGTCTTGTGGGTATCCTCCTCGCGGATACGGATCTGGTGGAAGCCACTGCGAAGGTCGATCTTGGTAAAGTACTTGGCTCCACGGGGACGATCAAGGAGTTCATAAATCCGAGGTAGGGGGTACTTGTTTTTTTTCGTGATCCGGTTCAAGGCGCGGTAGTCTGTGCACATGCGGAGTTCCGAAGTTCCACCTTTCTTGACGAAAAGGCAGCTGGTTCCGAAGGGGGATGAACTTGGCTTAATGAACCCTTTTTCAAGGAGTTCACTGAGTTGCCGCTTCATTTCTTTGGCTTCGGGGACAGAGAGTTGGTATGGAGGGCGGCAAGGTGGAGAATGTCCGGGCTCCAAATCGATGGTACGGGATACGCTACGATCCGGAGGTAGTCCGGCGGGTAAGGACTTAGGAAAAACGTCCGTGAAAACACTCTGAGCGCTAGTGCTAGCAGCCTGCGCTAGCAGCCTGCGCCAGCCAACCGACGAGGCTCGGTTGCACCTGGCTCAACCAGCACCTGCGGAGGTTGTCTCTCCCAGGTTGCCGGGCCTGTAAACGCGCCTGACACGTGGCAATGTGGTCGTGCGTGACGTGGCTGTTTCGAAGGAGGACAACGCGTGTACAGGGGAAGTGTCGGCCAAGTTATTGATTATCTTCATTAGAGGCGCGATGGAGTCGGAATGGATACTACAACGAGACGCGACGGTGTGGCTCGACATCTTGGCGGAGGCCCATCAGCAGCTACACGAGACGGTACGTGAGCTGACTCAGCGATCTCAGGAGCTGCGGCTGATTAAAGGGGGTGCGTTCCCCCTGGCCGAGTGGGTGGATCACCGCTCACAACTCATGTTAGATATAGTTAGCGAGCTGGAGGAGCTGGAGGAGGGGCTAGATCCCGGGCTTGAACATTACATTGATTGACGGAGGGCGGAGGCTGAGCTGGCGGCCTGCAAAGCCCTTTTTCGCAAGGGTCGGGATGCGTGTGATTTAATGGAGGCTTGGTCCTCCGGGGTGGATGAGCGGGATGGGGGGTTGCTCACTGGACGGAGTGTAGGGATTAGTCTCATGCCGGTCGGCGGTTCGCACGTAGCGATTGAGGTGGCAGATCGGACAGCCCTGGCAATTAAAACGGTCACTACAATCATGGACAACAACAACAACAACAACAACAACAACAACAACAACAACGACAACGATGACAACATCAACAACAACAACGACAACGACTTCACGGCGGAGGG